CAATAAAAGTTAACATCGTTCAGAATAACCACAGACCTGATGGCTAATGAAGTACACAAGAATTACTACAAGCCGTAATAATCCGGAATATAGCGGCCATAAACCTTTCCACTACAGCTCATGACCGCATGTACAAAAGAACTATGAAGCAGTAAGATGAGCAGATATAAGAGTAACAATTTGAATACCGTAACGACCAAATACGTGGCGATGAATAACTATGCATCCGTATCCAGCCTGATTCCATAGCCGTCCAGACCCAATCTGTGTTCCCATTTATTAACTTATTCTTATTTGCACATAGTACATGTAACATAGTCATGAGGTTAAATCGTGCAGCCTGTTTTCAACGATTCCTGTGGTATGTGCTTACGTAAGCCGGGAAAATTCCATGCTTCGTAAGGCGCACATCGATGCAAGTTGTAGTTACTGTTACTATTGTGCTATGCCACACTTTTCGACTTGGTCTGACAATTTAGAAATTGTGTTGCCATCATCTAGGTCGCTTTTCCTATTATACCTGCGTCGCACTGAAAGGTTGTCATCTACCAAACCATGCGCCTTTCGCTCTCGTTGTACTAAGCGCGAGTCTGTTGTCATTAGTGTTCGTTTCATTCCGAAGTATTTTTCTCACACGGTAAGGCTTTCAGCATAAGTCCGCATTTTTAGATATCCCAAAACAACTAATGGGAAAATTACAAGAACGCTTGCCAAATTTTATGCATTCCTTGAAAACTGATGTCTATACCTTTGAATTAGTTTTTCTCCAGACATTTACGCTTTATTTTTACTGGTAAGCATTTTATGGCCGTTTCTTACCTACCTCGATATTATCGCTATTGTGTTCCCTCCCTGACTACACTATGAACTGGGACTTCTGAACATGTTTCAATCGGTTGAGGAAGTTGGATTGGGCGTCAGCGGGAGATTGAATGACTGACTCGCCCACGAAAGTCCCAGTTCCGCCTCCTGGTCAGACTGCGCTGGTTCAGATACACGGGACATCCGTTAACGGAGGATCTAATCACTGTACAATCTTCTGCACTTCTCGCTGAACAACGTGTATATGCGAAACTGTAATAAACATAATATAATACATATTCCCATCCAAGATAAAGAGGAGATTTAAGCAAAAGGGGATTAAGCAAAAGTTGTGCAAATCCTCCATGAGAGCTGGTCCAGTGAACTTTAAAAGGGCTAGAGAATGCTGTATTGCTCCCGCGGCCTTATTCAATGTCAACAGTCTGATCTCACGTTCAACTTCTGCGTGGGATGGTTGATTCAAGGGACTACCCAGGGAGGACGAACCATGGCCGAAAAAGAAGAGAACTCAGGTTGATTAAACTATTTTTCAGAGTGCTTCTAGAGTTTCGACAAGCTGTGGACTAGCTGTCCACTTTCGTCACATATGATCTCGCTAACACCAAGTCGTCTACTGCCCGTTTCCTGTATCAGACGCAATAACGTACGATGGATACCAATGGCAGCGGCTACTTCTATCTCCGACGCACCATGAGACCGCCAGGCTTCTGTCTCTCTCCAGGCTGGCATGCAGTTGTGTCATGAAATCTTTGCGAGTCTCATTAGGCACGCTTCCAGCCGTAACGTGTCGGCGAACATAAATAAGTTTCTAATATGTTGTAGAGACCAAATGTCCAGGTTAGCAATCTGATTTGTTCCACAAAAATATGCCTGTTGATTGTGACGTTTAGCGAATGTGCGACCAGTGGGCTTCAACAGTGTTCAGTTGGCACTTACTCAGCCTGGATGCCAGCGTAGTTTGAAAAGCATGCAGGACACCTGGCTTCGCCAGTTGGCTAGTGTCTATGTGGTCAGAGTGCCATTGTGGACGTCCGCCGAAACGCAGTCATATACAGGCATATTCAAGAACTTGAACGGAGTCCACGCTCGTGCTCCAAACTCGAGCGACAGTTTTGGACACAGACTCTCTAGCGGTAACTGATCGCGTCCTACCTGCTGGACGCCATGTAACACTCCACCGGGTGCTGTGTTGGAAGTTAGTGCTCGCGAGAAACAGATGAACGTGTTCATACACGTGTAGCAAACGACCAACGTTATCATTACGGAAGCCCACGCCGTGTTGGCCACGTAAATACAGCCCATCAGCTGGCAGTCTTCCAACTTGTGCGTTCAGATCACCAGCACTAGAGTACCTGTACTTTCACTGTAAGTAACGGGTCGGTGCACTTTGTGATAGAAGTCGTCTTTCACCGAGTCAGTGCCGCAGTTTACGGGCGCGTATACAGCAACAACAAAAAGGCGCTGTTTGCCCCCATGCGACTTCAAAGCTTTGAAAGAGCCGGCCGATTTGACGGTGTGTATCCGGCTGTTGACTGAGATGTAGTCGATTAGGGCAGTCTTAATGCGGCTTGACTGATATTTAAAGATGCGCCATCTCCGGACAAACGCAATAAGAAAGTTCCGCATTTGAGGAATTGCAGAGTAAGCATGGAGCTGGAATCTTTCAGGCGGGTTTCCAATAGGCAGCAGATATTGATCCATAGGGCTTCTAGTGTCCGGGCAAGTGCTACACGTTGAACAATCTGTAATGAAGTGCGCACGTTGTGGTATGCAAGTTAAAGCGAGGATCGAGGGCTGCAAACAGAAACGGATGAACTGACGTTGTCCGCTTGGTTGAACATGAACTTGTTGACTGGACCGGAGAAAAATCCTGCTATTGGGTGTGAGCGGAAATTAGAAGACAAGCGCCTAATGAAGCAAGGTGGGGTAGGGCCAATAATTGGGGGGTTGTAAACAGGGGGAAACTAATGAAATTGGAACGGGGCGGTAAGGATGAAAAGCGCAAGAGTGGGAGTAAGAAGACAAGTAGGTTTGAGCAGTAGTAATCGCACCCCTATCCGTGCTGCTCGGCGCAGAAATACAGCGCCGTGGTTTATCCTATGGGACGGCAAGAGCAACAGTAAAGTTAAGAAAACGCGGGCTGCAAAGTGATCTCTTTTCGGTAACTCACAGCAGGAAAATACGTTTACAAGGATAACAAGGATAAGCATAAGCTAATGAAAGCTGAAGCGAAAGCAGTGGGGCGCTTGAACTAGCTTAATTTATTCGAACGGAAATGAAATCGATCGGTTCAAGTGGTAGAGCCTGTGCTGTCGATAAAAAGTGACCGAATTCGCCCTAACTGAGAGAGCTCGCTGACCTCTTCAAGAAAATATAAGTCAGACGAGAAGTGATGCCACGCTCGGTCATCATCAATGTTCCATGCGGATGGATACTCATCATGGCTGCGGCAACGTGAGAGGTTGCAACAGCTTCCCCTGCTTGCAAAGCTCATTTGCGATAAACTTATCGCTATCGACTCAGCAATCTCGAAGAGGCGTCTCCTAAACCCCTTGGGATATTGATTCGGCACGGTGTAGAAAATCTTTGAAGAAATGCTGACTACATTGCGTGGGAAGGATACTGCCAGGAGGCTCCCTGCACGTTACGGATCCTCCTAGAATACATCTTCCAGATTTTTGTCGTATGTCGTGTTATCACAAAGCAGGAGGCAACTTTTGATACCATTGGCTCTTTGCTATGCAGCATGCCACTTAAGCACTCCATGTACCTTTCCGTCTTGCCACTTCTTACGACAATAGTACACTTTACCAAACACCGTTTGTTATTGCTTCAATAAAACGCTGATTCTGTTCCTGAGTGTTGGGTACCTTACACTGCGCACGAGTTCCACGCGAGCATAAATGGACTAAAAGTTATTCCATCAGTTCACAGCGCCAGTTTCTACCCTTCGATATCCCATTTCAGGTGTTGCGAAACGTATCATTTTTTTCGCCTCTTGTTCTCCGGTATGCTCACGAACCCCTGAATTCGATATAATCTCTTCGTGATTCTTGGCCGTCCGCTTACGTACCGTAACACTATGCTGATGTCCTCGAACTCTGTCTTCAACCGGAGATAAAGGACAAGCGCTCAATGCGTTGAGCTAGTGTCTGTTCACATGTACTGGTGGCCACCAGCCTTTCTCGCCACTTGTGCCCTGCTTAAACTGTGACCTTGATCACATGCGTCCCCTACCGTTTCAGTGCAACCCGCTGTCATTGACTGCGGAAATCAACGTGGGGATGGCCTCGCATACTCCGCGTACGTTCGCGGACCATGAGACTGGCATGTGTGATCGGTAGCAAGAATTCCACCAGTACCAGATTGCGTGCGCATGTCTAAGGGTACGCCCTTATGTATGCAAATCGACCATATTATTGGTTGATGAGGGTTTACCAATCAACGGGTCTTACGTGCCAGCATGCGTTACCTGCTTGTGAACGCAATGTGGATGTGTCATTAACCGTTGATTGTATTATGTAGGAAACTGATCATACTCTATGGAGGAACAAGTTTAACTTACAGTATCACCTGACTCTTGAAGTTCGTTGTTGTTCACCACTTGTGAATACCCTTATCCAGCACATATCTTTTATGACGCCCGATATCATTTCGTTTTGTCAATTGTAATGGATGTTGTCGTTTAGCGTCGCCGGTTCCCTGTCGTTCCCATAGTAACTAGGGAACGTGCACAAAGCCTGTTGGTTTTCATCTATGCGCTCTAGCTTCACCTTCCATCCAGTCCATTTTGTGATTGGATTGTCAATGACTGGCCATGGTAACTTCACTATCAGGTTCGCACATGTGCTCGTAGTCGCCTGTTTGCAGGTTGTCTGGTTTGAACTTTGGATTAAACCGACTGATTCTCCGTCCACACCCGCATCGTATTGTCAAGCGTGAAAACTCCGAGATCCTAAACGGTTGGTTTCTACATACGTTGACCAACTTTTTGTACTAGTTACTGCAGATAATGGGATAACAAACTGCCCGGACTTCGGGGTCATTGGCTAAATATAACTCAACATTGGATCAACGTGTTACAGTTTAAATATAAGGCGAAAAGTAACAGTAGAAGACCACGGTTATCGAAGTTCGGCTGACAAAACGGCCAGAAGACAACCTCGAAAAATCCGTACCATATGCGGTGCTATCCAGAGAAAGATATTCTCGCAGTAAGCCTTCGGTGTTTGGCGTGAAAAGGTGTGGAAACCTGTGAAGAGATGCATATAGTACAGTGAAAGGTAGAGATGAGCAAACTAGTCGAGGGAGCAGTAAACAATGAACTAATGACGTTTTAAAGCATTTGTACATCAGGAGGATTTTCCGTAGATACTCTTGAAATGCAAATGACGGATAAGTGTCTCAATGAACGAGAAAATATTTGGATTTGGGCGTCAGCTGGGATTTACTGATTGTTGAAATGTATGAAATGTGCTCACAAGACAAGCGAAGTTGATTAGTGTTTCAATAAAAACAAGCAGGAAAACTATTGAAGCCGAAACCGAAACCAAGAATAATGAGCATGATTCACGTAGTTAAAGGCGAAATGATAATAACATCATATAAGACAATGGTGCCGAAGAGTGGCGTCGAGCGTGAGATTGGTAGCACAAGCACCTCAAAATACCATGCTGTCGTATGTGGGAAATCACAAGACCCTATGATTCAAGTTTGGTTGGTTACTGGGCTGCTAATGAGTTTAGCGAGCTGGCGAAATTTGGGAATAACGCGATGAAAACGGACGGGAGTGCAACTAGATCTACCAACAGCACTAGCCAAATATAGGTACCAGGTTGCAGTATGATGTTACGTTATAAAATGTATTGTAGCGTTTTGGGAGTTGTAAGGTGTAAGCCAAACAGACTAGTTATTGGCGACTGCAAGCTCCGCTGAATGAATAGCGTTGCTTAATCGATGTTTAGCTAGGATAAAGAAGGAACACTACTAGTGAAACTGTGGTTGTGAATGGTTGTGACGAGACAAAATATACGAAAACGTACTGCGAACGAGCCATGCTGTAGTTGACAGCTGCTTGGTTTTCACCAATAAACTGCAAGGAAGACTGAGTTTTATAGTATGGTGAAGAAAAACACCCAATGATCTTTGGTCAAGACTAGAAGACAGTAGTTGAAGTTGGACCAAGTATGAAATCAGCATTCAGAAGAGATTAGTGGCAAGCCCGATCCGCCTACGATTGAGCAACACAGATTCTTATCTGCTCGTTCTCTGTTCTCAGTATTCAGAGTCAAAAACCGCTACGCCTACGAAATTGGTAGAGTGACGGTCAAAAGACAGAATGTGCAAATCCAAGAAGAGGCCTTTCAACTGAATCATATATACAGAATTAGAAACCAAAAAAGTAAGCAATGTAAAAAGCAAACATCATTTATGGAAGCGACAGATGTCGATACAGCTTAGCCCATCGCCTTCAAGCACATGATGCTAAAGCACATTCGGTCGTGTGTGCCTAACCCAAGATGATCTGACCACTCATCAACGGAGCTAGGATGGGCTACTATCGAATAAGTGACGAGTAAGTCGAATGGGTGAGCTACAGTGTACGGAAAGTAGGCTACTTCCGAGTTTATTTACTAACACAGACAACAATGCGATAGAAATGGCACATATTCATCGTGGGAGCCGCAACCGGGTTGAATATGGACATATCGCTGAATTTTTGACAGCATTTGCTGATTGATATCCACGGTCTGGTTTGGCTTGATGGCTCCTGCCAAAAATCGCCACTTCGACCATACTGGCCGAAGGACACTGTTAATCGTCGCTGGGGTGCACCATCTTCGTGACTGTGCTAGGCTCAAAGAGTGGTTCCACCAAAGCTTAAATGAGAGCATACAGTATCCCTATTAACCACATTGGAGAGTATTAATGAGTTGCCATTTGAGCACAAACTCATCGCAGGGGATTTCAACAGCACGCAGATAAACCGGGTAGATGGCACTGCACCAGAGTCATATCAGCAGTTTCCCTCTTGCATCCATCTTGGTGGCTTGCAACAACAAATTCATTCCCCCCCCCTAAAGTTAAGTTCTACGCTGGGGATTCCCTCAAGTGAAACAACCATACTGAAATATTTTCTTCGAAGTGATTACCCAATGACCAACTGTCGTATTAAATTGAGTTTGAAATGTTCATGAGAAGAGAAAGGTTTTCACTCAATCAGTTAAGTTAACTGGAATGCCATTTCCGCCTTACTGAGATCTATGAACTGGGACGGATTATTTATGTCCTCATGAGCACAAAAAGCAGTAAACTGATTTTATGATAACACGCTAATGCATCGAGTCGCTTCACCTTAGACGAGGGAATACAACAATTGGGTATGCAGTAAAGTCGATATGTAAATTACAAAGTCGGAGAAAAATGCAGGGGTACCACAAAATCCTCTGCTGATACAGCAATCGACTATCGTAGAAGAGATCAGGCTCCAGAATGCGTATCATGCCTTACTTGAGGAGTGTCTGCAACAAAACTGAGAGCCTTACTGGACTTCTTCGCGCAGGAATCTCCAGCACAAATTAGGTTGAAATAAATAATTAATGAACAAACAATTATATTTCCTGACGGGTAAGATAAACATGCATTGATAACCTTGTCGGGAAATGTCATGCATTCAGTTGATACTACGCGAAATCATTAGCTGCGGAAACATTGACCGAGCAGTTGTGTAGTATGTCACTCACGATTGCTCATCTAAATTATGTAGATTGATACGAGGATGATTTCCTCTCTGATCTCGTGTCAAAAACCCGCCTGCTTCCAGCATCCCGATCGGTTGCCGCCGGTGCTGGTTAAATACGGAAACCTAGATATCCCGATAGTGCTACACACTTCATTTAAATCAGCACATAATCCCATGTAGTGGAAGACCTCGATCATAATGTCGCGGCACAAAGGTGGGGTTTCGTAAAGTATTGAAAACCATCGCCCTATAAATAACATGCCTATTGCCTCAGAATAATGGAGAGGATAATGAAGGATCAGATTTATGTGCATCTATCGTTGGAAAACCTAAATGGGAGGTCGCAGCATGCATGTATAAAGTCACGACCATGTGTGACCCGTCAAACAGATTTCCTAAACAATGTAACAAAGGCCATGAATCCTAGGAAAGCAATTGTCTTAGTTTCCATGGGTGCAAGATACAAAATTATTAGCAAAAATCAGAACTATGTTAGCATGATTAAAATCATTGTTTGAACGTTCACCCTTTGGATCTATACATATTCACGTCGACTACTTTAGTTCAGTCTCTTAAGTGGTCAACATGCGGAGGTTTCACTGTAGTTTGTTTGTATCTAGCCTGAGTAACTTTTAAGGACATACTCTGAAATACATGAGTTACGTTGGTGCTTTTTGCTTTCTTTTGTGGGTGAAAGCAGTACTGCTACAGGGGGTCGATTTGCGTATATGCTTCTCGTGTTTAGGGAGATATAGCACTCACGCCGTCCCGCATATCCGTATAAGGATCACTCTTTTAATCGGAGAAGTGCAGTCTTGAAAGCGTTCTCTGGTCGCCTGTATTCGGCATCGGCGAATCAGGAAGGCCCGTCTTATTTGAACGATCAGCTAATGCTGACCTGTGAGCTATACTAACCAAACAGTGGCCATAATCACCTTCAGCGCGCAACGTAAATTATGCGAGATCGCTTATCCACCATGTTCTGTGCATTAAATGAATTTCTAGGTTATGTTTAGCAATACTGAGACACGAAAAATAGTTCAAACGGAAAATCACGTACAGGGTCCAAAGCCGGTTACGAATCTAAGAAGCGACAGTCGATGACGAGAGGCCGCTAGAGATAGAAGTCCAGCAACAGAGAGGATTAGTGTTGTGCCAGCTAAGTGGGCGTTCTGGTCTGGTTAAACTGGCAGTCGAAAATGTGAAAACTTATTTACTATTAGTTAGCTAAAGTAGAACGCCGGGTTGAGCGGTCTGAGGACTATTTCGGTCGTTAGGGATGCATCCGAATTGTTAGATGGGTTACGTGAACCCCAGCGAGGAAACCTGACACAAACTGTTGCTACTGAATCAGAACAAGCGTCTAGGCCAGACGACCTACCACTGGTGTTGCTGAAACGCGGTAGCGATACACTAGGAGCACAAGGAGTAAGTAACATCCGAATGCCGTTTGTTAGCTGCTGTTCCTTTTTTAGAAACAATCAACGAATCTGCAAAATTCTTCGTGGTACCAGTCCCGTCTCAGTTGACTCCGGACTGTTTCATTGTATCATGCTACGACGATTCAGTGATCTTCATCAGAGAAGGATAAATGAAAATCAGACTGACTTCCGCATCCATCATATTCGCACTCCATTGCAGCTGATCTCACGTGGTCACATTGACCACGGCAATTTCGACATATTTGAAGTCGCTGTACGACCACTCCCGGAGGTACGTAGAAGTTTATGTGGAGCCGTGCTCTGGATGTACCGTGAAATGTGATGTCCTGTTGCTAACCAAAAATGCTCTTCCTGCCTTCTTTCACTTATCTGAGGTTACAGGCTCTGTTAGTTGACCGGCTGTCAAATGTAAAGTATTCAGAGGAAATAGCTCTCTTGGTTCGGACGCAGCTGCTGTGCATGTGCTACTGAGTAGGTTGACGCATATCACCACACGAACTGGTGTGATTTGCAGCTTTAAATTACAAAATGTTATGACATGATCAGGCCGACACGCCGCTATTTCTCATAATCAGGGAAAAGCCACTCGATGTTAACTTATCTGGGCAACCGCTTCATCATTGGAGAATCACATCACCTACGTGATAACGGCAATCGGTATAATAGTTATGTGGCTTTTAATAGCCTCAACAATGTATGGTGACGGGAGGCTAGAATATTTGTTGATGGAAGGTGTTAGAACACAGTGTTGCTGTCATTATCGTTGTACGTTTACTTATGTTCCGTTGCTGACCTATCAATTTACCGACTACACACACCGACTATACAAAACGTAACTTTGGTCATTTCATCCGCAAAGTTTACCATGAGTGATATCTCAGAACGCAATGAAAGGAACATGACATTTCGAAACTTTCACCAGCACCAGTTATGCATAAAAAAGAAAATCAGTTTAATTATGATGTGGAAATCCAAGAATGTATTCGTGCTATCATTATTTTGATACTTCTTAACCTGTGCACTTGGACATAAGAGAGAGCATGATACACCAGTATTACATTGGAACTG